CTTACAAAGTATGCATAGTTATATAAAACTTTTTGTGTATTATACAAATACAGGACTTTAGGCACCCACATTCTGAAAATTAAACACTGTTACTGTATGTTGCATATTTAGAATGAAAATGCAAGTAAGATGAAGATAAGATGTTTACTCAAGATAGTTTTGTGCATCAAATGGATAGCTAATGAATGCTGTCAAACATTTTATGTATGCGAAGACAAAGTGGTTTGTAGCAATTTTTACAACGTGCAAAATGTCATATAACAATCTTGGTAAATTTCATTTTCTTCTTCTTAATGTTTTTTTTTATTCTATTTTTAACAAATTCCTACTAAACTGAAGAGGAATAAGGCAGATTCAAGTCACAGACAACTCATACACCTATCTCAAGAAGCTGGAAGAACTACCTAAGAGGAAACACATGATCTTTCCCTATTTTTGCCCCTTTTTTACAGTATTTACCATAGGTTTTTGAATATTTCTTTCAGCATTTAAAAAAATATGCCTATATGAGAATGAAAAAATATAAATTTAAAATAAATTTTAAATGAAATCTGTTTTGAGAAATGTTCTTGCTAGAAACAAAATGAAACAAAACAAAACAAAAATCAAAACTAAAAAAGTCCAGAAAAACACGGACATCTCCAAAATTCACTAGAACAAGAGTAACTTCATATAGCTATGCTAGATGGCATTCCTGTGAAATGATTTTATATATACATATATATATATATATATATATATACGTGTGTGTGTGTGTGTGTGTGTGTGTGTAATAAACAACATTTGATAAATTGTAATTGTGGAGCAAAGAGGATTATTGCAATGATTTAAAATACATTAAAGAAAAGGAAAAATATGCAACGTGGGTGTATAAAGAACAATGACTGGAGGCCTCAATTTCACATTTCAAAAGGTTCATTTTTTTAATATATCTGCGGCAATAGAAGAGATCTTTTTAAAAGGTATATATAACATAATAAAAGAACTTTTATTATTGCTTGATATAGCTTAATGATGAACATTACCTGTTTACCACCAGGGTACTTTTGGCAGCAGGTTTTATGTATAGTCTTAAGATTAATGCAAAACAAATATATAATATCAGTGCTTCAGTAAATTGACTATTCCATCACTTTTTAAAATGACCTATTACATTTTTATGGAAGAGTTTCTTGCTCATGCAACTTTTCATTACTTTTTCCCTTGTATTTATTTAAAGACTGGGATTCAGTAAACAAATAACTAATCTAGGGCTTTGAGGAGCTAGTCTAGGGCTATTCCAAAAATAATACATACCAGTGTTTTGGATAATGGTTACTGTAACACCTTTATTTTCTTTTTCTGCAAGTTCTCCTTTTCCCTTATTATTCCAACTACTACCTAGAGTGAGACAGGTTAAAACACCTCAGGAGAAATTAATCAGCATTCTGACATCATTGCAACATTGCTTGATTACTGATACCAATCTCCACTTGCTGCATATTTTCCTGCTCATAATCCATAGCACCATCTAACATAGACCATATACATCATGTTCTACCATTTGGCTTCTGCTCTATATTTGGGTTTCCAGTATGGCTGTAGGAAGTCAAAGCTTAATCATTCCTAAAAATTGCTGTATGTCCACTTCTTGCAATTACTCATTTATTTCAGTCAATCATCCTCCTCTATTTGTGGACTTCTGTATACAATTACATGATTAAATATTGCTAATCCAAATCAGAGAAGTCAGTGTGATGATATTAATGGGTAAAGTAAATGGAACATTGTCAGCAGCACATACCCACAATCTATTAATGCATCCCATTCCATTCATGCAGACATACCAAGAAAATGTGTTTCTTATATGTGCCCTTAAAATTAAATTAAGAAATAAGTAAAGGTGTGTGGAAAAAGAGATTTAAATTCTTTTAGTTTGTCTAGGAAATGAAAATTACAAATCCATCTAACTTTGATGCTTTCCTTTCTATCCATTTAGTACTATGCTGCATTAATTTCTCACATCAGGCAAAATTCCAGTTGCTGTTTGCTGGAGTTTAATTATCACTTCATTTTTATGGAAAGGAAGATAATTATAGAAGAGGCTTCAAAACAAACTTAGTATGCTAGGCTACTTTTTATGTGATGAGCCATATAACCTTCAAATGCTTTCATAATATTTGCACTTAGCCACTATTTTATATGCTAGTTAATAAATTACTAATTTGTCTAACTCAGCCAATTATTTGCAACAGTTTCACATTTGGTAGCAAACATGAGGAAGTATTAAAAATACATCATTGTGAATTTCAACCATCCATATCAGTCTTTCAGTGAAGAAAATTGTGGTGGAAAAAACAAATTACTAATTCTTTAGGAGAGATAATACAGTATCAGCATCATCTCCCAGCCCAGGCTCACTTTATGAACTCAGTGCCTCTTCAAAGCAGGCAAAGAGCACTCAGGTCTCCTAAATGGATGTGTGGAATCAAGATTCACTGGGCATAAAAGCTAGTCAAGAACACAGCAGGATCACAAGAGGGATGAGCTGAACAGATGCAAGCTGAGACAGCACAGCTGCAGAGCCTGGGTTGCTGGGAATACATATTGCATCAGCTGTAACACAGGCTCCTGCTACGCAGATGCTCCTCTGCCTTACCAGCCCATTCTCAAAGCAGTTTTTATCTGCTGTAAATGTGTAAAAGTCCTGCTAGTTTTCAGTCAGAGATTGCAGCAACAGAGGGCTGAACCTCTGTTGCTGTGTGTTTTCTCCTGCTGCTACAGAAATTAACTGCCTCTGCCTGACCTGAATCTGCAAAATAGGCTGTGTCTTGATGTGGTAATGGGGCTTTGCCTCGTGCTGTCATCCTAAATATCTCTGTATTTTTATTGAGAAACAGATATTAATAGTAAATGAGAACAAATACAGCTGCACCCAAATTGGATTTATTATTGGGTCATTTCCTACCTGAATCCTTGTGTTTATTGTAATTTGTGGTAAGTAAGAGGAAACAGTCTTTGTATTTTATCATCCAAAGACAATGTTCTCTGCACATCCATGACTAACATTTAGCTACACAATTTTTTATAACTGTTAAAAGGACAAAAATAATCTGCAGCTACTTTAAGAATATATATATATATATATATATATATATGTATTGGTTCTTTCATCAACAATTTCTTATTGCCATAGAATCATTGAACAGTTTGGGATTGAAGGGACCTTCAAACACAAAAGAGCATCTAGTTCCAACCCCGGAGCCACGATATGGATACTTTTCTCAAAGCCTTATCTAGCCTGGCCTTGAACACTTCCAGGCATGGGACAACTTCTCTGGGCAACATGCACCAGTATCTCACCACCACCCTCAGTAACCAATTACTTCCTAATGTCTGATCTGAACCTACAACCTCAGTTTAAAGTCATTGCCCCTTAAACTGTCACTAGCTCTCTTGTTGGCTCTTTTAGGTATTGGAAGGTGGGTTATTATAAGGTCTCCCTGGAGCCCTTTTTTTCTCTGTGCTGAACAGTCCCAGGTCTCTCAGCCTGCCTTCACAGGAGAGGTGCTCCAGTGCTCGACTTTGTGGCCCTCCTCAAGACTCACTGCAGAAGGGTGTCATTATGGGATCCCAGAAATAGATTCAACACTCCATAGGGGGCCTCAAGAAAGTGGGGTTGAAGGGCAGAAGCACAGTCACAGAGTCACATAGCTACAGGATAAGCTGAGTTGGAAGGGCTCCACAAGGACCATCCAGTCCAACTCCTGGCCCTGCACAGGAGACATCCCCAGGAATCACACCATGTGACTGAGAGCATTTTCCAAACACTTCGAACTCAGACAGACTTTGTGATGTAACCACTTCCCTGGGGAGGCTCTTCCAGTGCCCAATCACCCTTTGGGTGAAGAATCTTTTCCTGGTATCTGAGCTAAACCTCCCCGGCACAACTTCATTTCAAAAGCATGAAGCTGCCTCAACTTGCTTGTCATATTTCTCTTGATGCTACCCATTTATTTTCACACAGACACAGATGTCATACATTCTAATCACTGGTACAACTTTATGGGAAAAAAACATGCCATGGAATTTTGCAAACAATATTGTCACAGCTATTTAGTGAAACAACTTTAACAACAGCACCTAGACTAAGAGTTGGGAAATACTAAAGATATAATTTTATACTATACTTTTTAAAAGTACAGTTTATTCTTTGTTCCTGAAGGTATAGTCTTCAGTCTAAATATGGACATGAAAATTTAAATGCTGCAGAATTGTTAGTGAATATCACCAAAAAAAATATAAAGCCTTTTTGAGTATATAAACTTGTAATATAGCTAGCTTTTAGTTCAAGTACTTTGTTTCACTCCATTCAAGAAATCAGTGGATTAAATTTACCAGAAATGAAAGCACAACCTATCATCATAACTCTTATTCCAAACAAATAATTACAAAATGCTTTAATAAATTTTCCACTTTTTCCACTTCATAGAAAAATGGGGCTAATTTTATCTTCCTTTATCTTCTGACAAACTAGCAATCTAGCTGAAGCTAGTTATCTTTTCTCTCTAGAAGACTTAAAAATTTCTGCATTGGAAGACCCATGAATCATCATTAATATCCCAGACAATTACTTAAGGATCAAATACACCGCATATCAAGCTGCCTTTTATCAAAGGTTAGAAAAACTGAGAGAAGTTTTGGACTTAAAAAGGAAAAACAAATTCTAGAAAACTATAACTAAGGTATACTACTACCATTCTAGCTTTTTTGTTAAATTTCTTTCTGAAAATTATAATAATTTTGAACAAAGAATGAACTCAAAACTCAGTTTCTTTTCTCTAACTGTATTATGCTTCTCCTTAAATATCAGGAGATTTTCACTGGACCAAAATCTTGGCAATATTTCTTGATTGATTCAGACATCCCCCCACCAATCTTGCAATAGAAAGTTATGTCACCATTTTCTGACAAAGAAAATATGAAGTATAACTCATAAAGCAACAAATATCCTACAATACCTTTGTTGTTATCCATTCCTCCAACAGCGTAAAGTGTTCCAACTGTAGATTTTCTAGGCTTAGTTCTTGGACTTTGCATAAGAGTTCTTCTTTCTGGTAAAAGATGATATTTCATGGCTTCCAGAATAAGCTTCTGACATTCTAGGTCATCCTTAAAGAGTGCATGGTTTTCCAGGTCAGCCAATATCTGTGAATGACAGTAAGTGAATAAAACAGCCTAGAAATTCCTAGAAAAGCAATACTATCAATGAGAGACAAATACAAATGGATGTCACAAGTATATTTCTTCATTCTAGAACACGCAGTTTTACAGGGCTATGTTTTCTTGGAACACAGAGAGAAAATGAAGTAGTTGATTCTTAAAGGATTTTAAGGCCAGTGTTTCACCAGCCCTTAAGACTACAGTCTTACTAATCTTTTACTGAAGGCTTTGAAAAAAACTAAATAGTGTCTTGTAGGTTGACTTATTTTTAATGGTTTCCAGCACAACACTGAAAGAACACAGAAGGCATCTCTTTGCAGGAACATTCCTTATTTTTAAAACCAAACTAAAACAATGTTCCCACCTGAACAATGCTCAGTTCATACAGGTGCAAGGATAGTCTATTGTGATTCCAAAGAAGGAGGCTGCAAGTTGTAAATGTTGTGTTTGATTCACTTGCCTACATACATGTATCTACCAGCTTTTGAGATGTTGTAGATTACCATGTAAGATTTCAAGATCCCATTGAATTATACAATCTAGGTTAACCTCACAAGTGACCTAGCTCTGAGCAGGAGTTGGACTGTAGCACTCCTGAGGCCTGCTCCCACCTGAATGATTCTCTGATTCTGTGATCTCACTGATGTCTGGCCAGAAGAGTGGAATGCTCATCCAGATTTTGTGCCATATCTGCCAGACCCATATTGGCATATCAGACAACCTAAGACATCCAAATTAGAGCAGGATTTAATTGCATATAACAGCATATCTGTACAGTGCAGTAAATTTCTAGATATCATGGAACATCTATCTGAGAGATCAAATAATATTCAGAGAAGCAGCTAAAGGCCAGCAAGCAGAAGAGGCTCATTCCTGGAATCTAAGGATGTCTTCCCTCAGACATATATATGCAATCATATGCAAATTGTTTTGCAGTTGCCTAAAGAGAGGAAGCTAGATTCCTTTTAAGAGCTCTCAGCTTCATTTCATCTGGACTTCAATGGCTGCAGAAGAAGCTTGAATGTTCTTTGTCAATCTGTCAGCCTTTGGCAGATAACACATTTTCTGTGACATCTGAAATATTAACAGCTGGCACATGTAGACAGCTGTTGTCTGCTTCTGATTTTAGGCATTAGTCATGAAATGAGTTGATGGCTGAAAGCAAGGCAATAGATAGATGTTACAGCCCCCAGTATCAACACAGGATGGGGGATGAACAGCTCAAGACCAGCCCTGCCCAGAAGGGCTTGGGGGTGCTGGTGGGTGAGAGGCTGGGCATGACCCAGCCATGGGCACTCACAGCCCAGAAACCAAACGTGTCCTGGGCTGCATCCAAAGCAGCGTGGGCAGCAGGGACAGGGAGGGGACTCTGCCCCTCTGCTCTGCTCTGACCCCACCTGCAGGGCTGCATCAGCTCTGGGGTCCCAGCACAGGAGGGACATGGACCTGTTTGAGCGAGTCCAGGGGAGAGCCACCAAGATGATTAGAGGGATGGAACAGCTCTCCTATGAGGAAAGACTGAGAGAATTAGGATTGTTCAGCCTGGAAAAGAGAAGGCTTTAGAGTGACCTAATTGCAGCCTTCCAGTATCTCAAGTGAATTTACAGGAATGATGAAGCAAGACTAATATACAAGAGCATGCAGTGACATGACTAGAGGGAATGGTTTCAAATTAAGAGAGTAGCTTTAAATTTGATATAAGGAGAATTTTTTTTTTCTCTGAGGGTGGTGAGGCACTGGAAGAGGTTGTCCAGAGAAATTGTGGATGCCACACCCCTGGAGGTGTAAAAATGCAGGAGTTGGGAAGGAGTGGCTTGTGTCCCCTAACTCAGGGGATGCCTCTTAGGGTCCCCACAGAAGTGTTCAAGACCAGGCTGAATGGGGCTTTGAGCTACCTGATCTAGTGGAAGGTGCACCTGCCCTTGGTAGGGAGGCTGGAACAAGATGATCTTCAAGGGTCCTGACCACTCTATGATTCTTTGATAAAGGTTTCTGTGTATTTGTGTGTGCCTGTTCTGGTTATTATTCAATTAATATTACTAAATAAGAATATTAAAAGTATGTTTATAAACAGGCATGATAAGCATATTTCATAACACTAGGTTATTTTTTATCTCATAATCTTAAGATTTTTCATATATTCATTTTTTGATTTTTTTTTCCTTTACAGTGTTCAGCGCACTGCTCAATAGACTAGAAAATCAAAGACCTGAAGACAAATCATGTCCAGATTTTAGATAGGATGACTGCAAAATGATTTAACACACATTTAGGACTACAGAACCAAACAGAGTACTCTGTCAACATTAACTAAATAGAATACAGGCACAAGAGAAGTAAGAAATCAAATTACCAGTTTTCTCTGCACAAATTTGAGGTACTATTAAGTTACATAGACTTTCTAATGCTTAATGGAATTAATTAAATTGATGACAAAGGTTTTCATGGCAAGCTTATTATATCAGTCAGGATCAAAATCAAACAATAATATCAGTGATTTCTTTTTAGACCATTACTCCTTTACCCAGAAAGGCTTAGGCTCTTAAAGCAAATATTTATCTTTGAAATCTTTCAACTGAGTTGCCAGGTGTTTCAAATAAAGAAGAAATAATCTGTGAACACTGTTCTGTCCCAAAATTCTGAGGCTTAATTCACTAACCACAAATAAAAGCTGAATCTCTTTTTCTTTCAAGTTAAAAATTCACCTTAAAATTAATAGAAAATGGGAAAAAAGAAAAAATTCAAATAAAAACTTAAAAGTGGACAGAAACATTTGTTCATGTCCCTTAAAAAAATTAATCATTCCTTCTATTAAATTTTTTAGAACATGGGCTAACTTGTGATAAACACTGTATTTCTGAATCCTCTAAAGACTAGAAGTTGTGAATAACAAAAAAAAAAAAAAAAAAAAATCAACCAAAAAACGAAAAAAAACCCAAAACCTAAATTGAAGCTACTATTTATAAATCAGAAGTTATATAAAGCTGTTTCCTGTTGTCTAAATTTCAGTAATCTGCGTCAAAGTTTTTTTACTCCATAGTTATCTTTCCTGATTATGTCACAACAATCAATATATTTTTATTAAATCAGGATGCACTTGATCAGGAAATTCAGTTAATAAGGATGTTTCCCTGGAAACCATATTATGTTCAGCTTGCTCTTCCATGTCTATGACATAAATCATTAGGAGAGAATTGTATCTAATACTAACTGAATATTGCTGGGCTTTGTAATGTGGAAATTCACAGAGCTGTAGCTTCTCAAAAGACTACAGTATCAGTGCCAGCATAGTTAACTTTACCATTGCTAGAACTTCTCAGACTAGCAATATCCTGATATTTTTTTCCCACTTTGTGACATCACATTTCTCATTTTTTCCCAATTAAAACCCCCAAAAAGTCCTTTCTTAGATGTACTTCCAAATGACTTCTAGCACCACGCTGCAGAGAGCAGGCATGTTTCAACTCAGTAAAGCACATTCAGTTTGAGATCTAGAGTGTAAAGCACTCAAGTACTGCCAAAAGGAAAATGTCTAATGAGAAAAAAGGAGTAGTTGGGTACTGGTTCAGTGACCGACTCTGGGTGCACCACAGGACTGCACCAATTGCTGCCTACCTTGCTCTTACCTTCAGCTGCCTCCTTCTTTCCTTCCTTCCTTGATGAGCAGTTCTGCATTTGTTGCTTCCTGACAGATCTCCCACAGCCTCTCTGTTATCCCAGTGATTTGCAGCTATGATTGTGGGAATCTGAATACTTGATTTGAATGACCTTAAGCAAAGTCACACATATTCTACATAATCGATCATCTGAGAGATGGAACTGGTCCCTTTCTACCCTGTGTCATCTAGGATGAAATTCAGCCACCACTAGGGAAACAGTTTCCACCTACCTGGAAAGAAAAAGACCACTTTTTTCCTTTACTCCACTCTTGGGAGAGACTATAAGGCAATGGAAGAAGCAAAGAGCTGCCTCACCAAAGATTCTGTAATGACCTTATACTTTTGAAGAGGCAAAGAACACTCCCTGATTATTTAGATAAAACTTTCTATCTTGTGAAAAGTGCAAGGCGTGACAATATTCACTCAGTCAGGATGAACTAACCTCAGATTCTACCTTGATATGTGCCTCAGACACACTAATTGTCCAAAAGGGGATATGACAAAACACTATCGGGTTCCTACCATTAAAGTGAAAAAAACATGGGTAATTCCTCCAGGACAGAAATCAGGGCTATAAAAGTGAACAAAGTGAGAAAGTACTCCCTGCGTGCTAAAATTAAATACTCAGCACATGCAAAAGTTTTAATCTGTAATCCAAGAGATAGATATTTCCAAAAGAGGGACAGCATCATTCAAAGTTATGCATTATGTGGTCTGTATCTGCCCACGAGTGTTTATTATGATTTAGAATCTTGAATAGTCCTTAAAAACATATAATTACTCTGTACACCACTGATTAGGATTAAATTTAATACCCAAACATATTAATTTTTTCACAGGTAGAAAGCAACTTCCAGTTCTCTAAAAATTATCCCAGTTTCTAGATGCATTTTCCCTCTGAAAAACCCTAAAGAGTTCTGTGCCCTTAGAAACTTACATGCCAATGTCACACAGAATAGAGGATTAGAATTATCTTAATAGTATTAATAATTATAACAGAAGAACAAAAAGTTAAATGTCCTCTAAATGCATTGTGAATAAATGAAATGTGGATTTTCATGGCACATTTCATTTTAAAAAAGTCCACAAGTTTCTTCCTTGATCCAAAATATATCCCAAGTCACTTGACAACCTTGAGTCAGAGAATCACATTACCATATGAAACAAAATCCTGAAGAATTAATGACCTAAAGTTTGCATTTTGAATGTTTTTCAAGAGAGAAGTTTGATTAGCCATCATTGTCCTTTTATGAGTCTTCTTCCACGTACAGATTTGTTACAGCTGGTTATTGTTGATGATCACAGTAATCCTGCTGCTAGGAAAGA